TAATGGGAAAAAGATCGAAATAAGCCAATAATTTTGTTTGGTTAGGATGCATTATTAACACATTCTATAAGACAAAACAATCAAGCCAAAGGCAACGGTTGATAACTAGTGTCCATGATCAAGTTCTCTTCGGACATTTTTATGCTGAAAAAAAACAGATGATAGAGATCAAATCTGACAATATTGCCTTACTTGGGGAGAATAATCCAGAGCTCTTAACATGAAGGCAATCAACACAGAGAGCAAAACTAGTAATGATAATGAAGTTGAAGGACATAACGTAACAAGAAAATCAGATGCAGCTAGGCATAAGCAAAATACATCACAGCCCTTGATAATCGTACAATTTTAAAGCAATTGAAGCTAGAATAATAAACCTACAACGATATCAGTTTAAGCAACGAAGATATATGCCGTTTTGCCAGAGCTGCCGCCTCGATATGTATCTCGACCGATCGTCGCTGCTTCTCCACTTTTGCGGTCCGGGTTTCATCCCAACAACGTTTTCGTAAAACCCAAGAAGCATGCTTGTTTGCAAACTCAGTCTGTTTGGCTTCCTTCACGATCTCAAGGTCGATTGAGTTTTCCGGTTTTAAATTATTATCATCCTTTTCTAAAGAGGTAGTCTCATGATTGTCATCCAAATCATAATCCGCCAGTAAAACCGGTTCTGCCTCAGAAAAACTCTCCTCGGCACACTCGATGACTACCGGCGCAGGAGAATTAGCAACAGTCTCAAAGTAGTCAACTAGACGCTGAAGAAGACCTGTCATTCCACGTTTGTGGCGTTGCAGGATCTCCCAGCGTTCGTCCCACTCATAAATTCGCCAAAGGTCGGCAATGGTTAGCTCACGCTCTACGCATTCTTTCCGATAGAAGGCGATAAAGGGAACCTCGTATAAATTTTCTCGCATCAGTTGAAGAGCCTTGTGTATCTTAGGAATTGCAGAAGGGGGCTGGATAGGCATACACGAACAGACGAATAAAATGGTTAGGTTTATATAAAATATTAAAATGTCTACCCTAGGCAAATGAGAAGCTCTTAAGTGCAGTGCTCTAATGCATTAACATATTCACGAAGAAATATTTTTCATAGAAAGCAATTCTTGCCTATTAAAAATGTCACATTTCGTCAAAATGTCTCACCTGTGGATAGGAAAAATTATGGGGAATTTATAAATACAAATATGCTACTAAAAGCGCAATAATCTTTGAATTTTATGAATGAAGGATGAATCAGCAAAGGTACAAATCAATTAAAAAGCAGATTCGGAACAAGAGATTCAGAGGTCGCTAAGCCCATAGTTTAAATATGCATGGGTATTCTATAATCAGTAGAAGTTCAAAATATAAAAATTAAATTTACCTTATTATCTGGTTCGCTTTTAAAAGTACTTTTATATATCCAATCTGCCTCATCAACCAATTCGCGTAGATTTGTTGAGTAGCTGGGCGAACCTGGATCAATATGCCTCAAAGGAACGCGACGGAGCTGAAAACGCTCAGGAATATCCGTTTTTCTTATGCGTTCATCAATTTGACCATAAAATGCTCTTTCCAAGTCGCTTGGATCAAATAATTCATACACCCGCTGCTCATCTACTGAACCTTTTCGTTGGCGCAAATTAACTCTACCTGCGCGCGCTTTGCCTTTTCGCTTTGCCGATTTCTCGTCTTCTTCAAAATCCTCTTCGTATGCCTCGTCATCAAAATCCTGATCCTCTCCGCGACGGAAACGCTCAAATTCTTCTGGATCAAAATCAACACCAAAAATATCTTGTGCCTGCTGCAAGGCTGCATCTTTGTGGAGCAAGTTTTTTTTCTGTGGACGTCGAAGAGCATCTGTCCGCCGATCATCAACAATGAAATCACCTAGGTCTGTAACAATAAAAAACGATGAAGATAAGCATTGAGGACAGTCAAATATGACATGACAAAAATGTATTCCCAGTAGATGTTCAGTAAAAAGTTAATCAAGAATATAAACAAATTTTTGGGATAATCTTACCATCTTCTTCATCCTCTTCTTCGTCTTCATCATCTCCAACCTCCAGATTTAAGGCTTTTGCCGAACCGACATCTTTACCAACAACACCAACATGACGATCACTGACGTCGCCTCCACGCCTTCTACGAGCACCAGTACCTTCTTCATCACTGTACTCTTTAAACAACTCCTGGGCAATTGCCTCACGAGTTCTACTTTCGTCGTCAGTACGTCGAACCTTTTTAGATAGACGGCTAGGCCCTTCTTCTTCATCATCCTCGTCATCATCAACGACTAATCGGTGCTTCCGTTTTTTCTATTAAAATCAAAAATTTACATTTAAAAGGATACTTTTCGCTTCAGGCTAACACCGACGTTCTCCTCAATCAGATCGTAATCATCTTCGTCGAGCAAATCATCGTCATCTTCATCTTTATTGTCTTCTCTTTCCTTAGAGTCCGCATCACTCCCATTACTTGAACTTTCACTTTCTTCGCCTTCATCCTCCTCTTCAGCTTCATCGACCAACCAGCCTTCGCCTTCCTTGCGGCAAATTTCTTCTTCGTTGGGGATATCTTCTTCCTCACTGTCGCTTGAATCAGATGAAGAAATTCCTGATCTTTTCTTCAAAGCGGCTTTAGAATTCACATTTTCTTCCGAAAGATCTGATGCTTCAGATGGCTCAGAATCGAATATGTCAGCCATATTATTAAGAGAAAAAAGAGTGAGCAAGGAAAGAAGGCTAGGATTGTTCAAAAGAGCCTCATTGAGGTAATTAGTAAAACAAGTATATATTATGATTATTTAATTTAAATAATGAAAAGTATTTTTATAATTTTTTTATAAGCAGATTTTTTTAATTATTTTTAGGCGACAGGTGGAGGATGTTATCGTTCATTTGCTCTTAATCCTACTGGAATTTTCCTTTATAATGAATCATTTCTTGGAGGGTGTTTATGAGTTGACTTCACTTGTAAGAAAAAGAGGATTTATTTGAAGTGGATAACGTTGGATTATAGACGGCTCATCGTTATGATACTCAGATGAATTTGTTCTGGGCTCTCACCTGTCATATGAGAGACACGTCAGAGCGATAATCGAAAAAATTCACAAATTGGACTAAGCCAAGAAGTGGTCGGTAGGCTACAATCTTACCTTGCGACCTTAATGAGGCATCCAGTGATTTGCTTGACTATTTCATGCCTTACCCACATGCTTGTAGATGAGTGAAACTGATTCATGTAAAGGAAAGTTAGTTGATAGCATCTGTTTCCCCATTGAATCAACACAAGCTTAAACGTCTCGTTATGTGTATTGTATTTATGCACTTTTGAAGTTATAGGAGATTTAATAGCTCTAACCAGACTTTAGGCTAGTCAACTCTCCATCTCCTGATAAGCGATTAGGGTGAATTTAGAAACCTCATATGGATTACTTTA